TGGCCAAAAAGAGCTGGGGACTTCAAGAACATAGGCAGCATCTCTTTCCTCCAGGGTAATGCTGGCCGTGCTGGCATTTGAGGCTGAAAGTCCATGGCTATCCTAGTCTAACTTAGCTTGACCCGGCCCAGGGGTGTTGCCTGGACTATGAACCCTTACGGGCCCCCTATCACAGTGAAGTCTGTCTGTGTTTCCCATTCAACCCTGGCTTGAGTGCTGTTCACTGCACAGAACTACCTCTCCTCCACCATGTCAAACTCCTCAGCTAAACTCTAGATTTTATCTGTAACATACTGGTATCAAGGGAGGCTTTAGACAACTAACTCTCAGAGACTCTCCAAGATGAAATGTGTGCACCCAGGAGTCATTCGAAATACTTAAAATCCCGTAAAGTACAAGCGCCATACAATCAGCATGGAAACTGGTCCTTATGAATCAAAAGTGGCTGCAACCTCCCCAAGTGGCTCTGTGAGTGAAGAATGGTACAGGGGCGTCCTGTAAGAAGGCCCCTATCCTCCCCTGATTTACTGTATACCACCTGCTCTCCCGGCACTTTTCCGTCCGCTCTGTTCTCCCATCTCACTCCTCTTGTTATCTCCACAGTTCCTCACTCCTCAAAAGGCTTTTATTTCATTTATCACTCAGTTTTTAGGTGAAAGGAACAGAATCAACACTGCTGGACTTAAGGAGCAAAGGAATTTATCAAAAGGATATTGGATGGCTTGCAGAGAACCTGAGACACCCAGAGCCAGGCACTGAGGCTCTGCAGCCAGGAACAATTGCCCACGAGAAGGATTTAGAAACACTTCCGTTGCTATGGGTGCTGGACCCCACAGGTTCCACCACTGACAACGCATGACGAACAATGTGGCTACAGTCACTGCCGTATTCTGCTCTGCACTGCACCTGCTTCTTCCAAACCCCTGATTTCTTATCAATCAAGGTTAGGGAAGATGTCCCTGACTGGCATGTGCCTTCAGTTGTGCTCAAGGAGCTGGAAAAGCAAGATCTGGTACTTTCTGATTCTCTAGTGGGAATGGGTTCTGCTCAAATAGAGAAAGGGGCTTTCAAGGCTGGCCTGCCAGTGTGACTAGCACACTCTACTCTTCCCTCCTGGTTTATTTTCCCACTATAGATACAGTGGCACCTATCTAGCTGTCCTACACCTTAGGGGTGGGATTGCCAGGTTTACAAATACAAATACAGGTCGGGCACGGTGGCTCACGTCTGTAATCCCAGCACTTTAGGAGGCCAAGGCAGGCAGGTTCCTTGAGCTCAGGAGTTCGAGACAAACCTGGCCAACGTGGTGAAACCCCATCTCTACTAAAAATACAAAAAATTAGCCAGGCGTGGTGGCACACACCTGTGGTCCCAGCTACTTGGGAGGCTAAGGCATGAGAATTGCTTGAACCCAGGAGGTGGAAGTTGCAGTGATCTGATATCACGCCACCGCACTCCAGCCTGAGTGACACAGTGAGACTCCCTATAAAAAAAAAAAAAGTACAAGATGCCCAGTTATATTTAAATAAACAGCAAATTTTTTAGTGTAATTATGTTCCATGCAATATTTGGAACATATTTATTCTAACAAATTATTCATTGTTTATCTAAAATTCACATCTAACTGGGCGTTCTGTATCTTCTCTGGCAGCTCGCCTTAGGAGTATCTTCTCTACGCTGCACTGCCCTTCCCTAAACTGAGCCAGACCCTGGTTTCTGGGTGTGATAAAGATGCTGAAGCGCAAAATCTACCTTCAAGATGAAAGCCAGCTGCCTGATCCTGGTTTTGAGTGCCAAAAATTCGAAATTACCCAGTCTTTCTCTCGGCTTTCCTCCCATAACAGATGTTCATCTTCTCCAATCAGACAGATGCCTGGAGCCAGCTAAAGTAGAGATTGTATCCTTGGGAAAGCAAAGGAGACGCACATTAAAATTTACAAAAACGATTACTCAGTTGCAATAAGTAAAAGTAGAGTAAGTGTTGCAGAAAGATTTCATGAATTTTTATACTGGGCTCTCTCAAATTCTAGTACCTCAAGTTTCCTGTGACTCACACTTTACAGGGCTTTAATAGGAGGTGAAGCTATAAAGTAATGAAACTGATTTTCATGTGTTACCACACATACATGGAGATGAGTCAACAACTACTTTTGCTCTCACCTCCCACGTCCCAGGGTGGATCCATTACTCAATTGCCGATCTGTTCCTTTAATTCAAAAAGGCAAATGATTTTCAAAGCCGCTGCATTTCAGTATATTATAGACAAGATGCTAAGACTGTTTCCTAAGCTTTCTTAAAATTATAAATAACACAAACGAGGCACACAACTTTGCCAAATTCTTCTAAAGCAACCCACACAAAGACTTTACTCATTTACCCAAGTCTTACACGAGGAATAATTAGACCTTCTCAAACCAATGTCAGCTTTCTCTGGGCTGCCAGACAAACCACCGTGGGATGTTTCCAAGCCACAGAAAACAAATGGTATCTGTGAGAGCTGGTGCTCACGCTGGAATATCTTTCACTAGCCAGGCTCCATTCCTTGGGAAGAAACCCCATCTATGCTTCTCCTTAAATTAAACCTTTTTTCAATTCCTCAAACACGCCCTGTCTTTCCCATTTTGGGGTCTTTGTGCAGTGTTCCTCCTTCTGGAACCCTCTTCTTTGCTTCATTCAGTGACCTCCATCAGATCTCCGCTCAAAATCATTTCCTCTGGAAAATGTCAGTTCCCTAAACCTCCTCACCCCCACCCCTATGGCTGAATCAGAGTTCCCTGTTATATACTTTCAGAGTTCACGCTGCCACTCCTTCTTAGGCTTATACGGCTATTGTTGTGTGATTTGGGGATTAAGTCCTATCTCCTGTCTTACTCAGTCATGGAAGTTTTGGCTGGGTGACTGCTTGTCTGAAACCCCATCCCCAGCCTTCTTTGCAGCGAGGTGTGGCCTCGTGACCAGTATCTGGCCAATGACATGCATTCGACTTCTGAGTGTAGCAGTTAGGAGGAAAGGAGGGGAGACTCCTCTCTTCTGTTTCTCCCTTCAACAGCCTGAAGGCAAATGTAATGGTGAACTGATAAGGGACAGAAGAGCAGAGGGAAAAAGGGAGCCTGGGTGTCCATCACCATCAAGCCACCAGAACAGCTCCACTCCCTGTCTGGATTGTGAACCTGAGAACTGCACAACTTTCCTGGTTTGGTGGTGGTGGTGGTTGTTGTTTGAAGATGGAGTCTCTGTCGCCCAGGCTGGAGTGCAGTGGTGTGATCTCGGCTCACTGCAACCTCTGCCTCCCGGATTCAAGTGATTCTCCTGCCTCAGCCTCCCAAGTAGCTGGGATTACAGGCGCGTGCCACCATGCCGGACTAAGTTTTGTTTTTTGAAATGGAGTTTCTCATCACCCAGGCTGGAGTGCAATGGCATGATCTCGATTCACTGCAACCTCCACCTCCTGGGTTCAAATGATTCTCCTGCCTCAGCCTCCTGAGTAGTTGGGATTACAGGCACCTGCCACCACACAGGCTAATTTTTCATATTTTTAGTAGAGACAGGGTTTTACCATGTTGGCCAAGCTGGTCTTGAACTCCTGACCTCAGGCAATCCACCCACCTCGGCCTCCCAAAGTTCTGGGATTACAGGCGTGAGCCACCGCAACCGGACTAAGTTTTGTATTTCTAGTAGAGACAGGGTTTTGCCATGTTGGCCAGGCTGCTCTCAAACTCGTGGTCTCAAGTGATCCACCTGCCTCAGCATCCCAAAATGCTGGGATTACAGGCGTGAGCCACCATGCCTGGCCATGACTTTCCCGTTTAAGCCACCGTACTGAGTCTCATGAAAGTAGCCTATATCTAGCAAATGCAGATTGGAACCCAGAGCCACTTGATCTCAGAATCCAAGCTCTGAATGACCACCACAGGATGTTTTCCACACCATGGGCCTCTTCTCTCTTGTACATGTTACATATACATCTTACATTTCGCAGATCATGTCGCAGACCCCTTCGATGAAGGTGGGCACACTTCCTGGATCTGTCCTAGATCCCAGAGTGAATGTGGCGCCCTCCAAGAGTTGTTTGCGGTACTTTTTCCTTCTCACTCAATTTCCATCTATGTTTTTAGCCCTGAGAGCCTGTGATAAGGTCCTCAGGATCACCTTTGTTTCTATTATTATTAATAAGTAACTTGGTTCCCAGCACGCCCTCACCCCCACCCCATCACACCCAGGAGAAAGGAAAGCTGACCATGATAGACAGTCCTGATCTCTCTTGGAGGCCAGCATCACTCAAGGCTGTTCCACCCCGCTGTTATAAGTTCCACAAATGGTGGAACCAAAGCTAAAGAGAAGCCTCCTGATATCAGGAAGCAAGTAGTTAGCTTTTTCTGCATAATTTATTTATTTTTTTCTGTTTCACATATAATTTTATTTGTTTTTTGTTTTGTTTTGTTTTTTTGAGACGGAATCTCCCTCTATCGCCCAGGCTGGAGTGCAGTGGCATGATCCCGGTTCACTGCAACCTCCACCTCCCGGGTTCAAGCAGTTCTCCTGCCTCAGCCTCCTGAGTAGCTGGGACTACAAGCATGCACCACCACACCCGGCTAATTTTTGTATTTTTAATGGAGATGGGGTTTTGCCATGTTGGCCAGGCTGGTATCAAACTCCTGACCTTAAGTGATCCACCTGCTTCGGCCTCCCAAAGTGCTGGGATTACAGATGTGAGCCACTGCGCCTGGCCACATATGATTTTACATAGATACACATCATTGGCTATTTGTGCAGGGGCCTTTAAAAACAGTATGCTGAGAATAGATAGGGCTCAAGGACAGTATCTCCAATTAAACTTTTAATAAACTCCCGTAGGCGCCAAGAAGGCGGGCAGATAAAAAAGAGCATAAAAACAAGGAACTAAGTAGAAGGTTACATGTGGGAAAAGAAAGTTTGTTTTGCATTGCATTCTTTCTGCTGACGTGGGGTTTATAAAGTATAAATAAAGTGAGGCGGAGGCTCTAAGTGCGGCCGCCATGTTCTCTGTGTGTCTTTGTCTTTTGTGTGTTCTTTCATTCTCCACCATCCCCGGCATGGACCCCAACAAGTGGCGCAGCGAGCAGGGTCAACACGGGTAAGTAGGGGAGAACAAGAAGGGGAACCCCCTAGGGGCAGGTAAGGCCCGGATATTGTTAAGGGGAACCTTCTTAAGCTTTCATTATGGGAATTCCATCTCTCGGGCCCCAAAATATTTACGGCTGTTTCAAGGACTGTTGCTGTCTATAGCAGTAAAAGTAAAAAAAAAAGACTTTGAAGCGATTGTTTGCCCATGTTGAACAACACTGTTACTGGTTCAGTATCAACAAAGTAAACAGCTGAATCAGAGAAATGGTTAGAGGTAGTAAAAGCTCTGCTTAGAGCTCTCCAGTTAGGGAATATTATGCCTCTAAAATTGTGGACCTGTGTGACTCTATCACTCAGATATTAGAGTTACTTAAGACTGATTCAGAGTGTGTAATGTAGCCACAGGAGGAAGGTATCTGAGGATTGGAAAAAAAAAAAAAAATCTGAAATGGAGCCCATTTGTGCCAGAATAACACAGGATGGGGGGGGGGCGGTAACAAAAAGGGGGAGAAGAAAAAAAGCCAGCTCTTCCTTCTTCTAAGGAAAATTCTGACATACAGTGTATTATGGAAATGCTTCAATAAATATTACAGATATATTCTTCTAATTCACCTTTACGAACTTTCCCTGTTTCTTTTCCTTCTGCCCTGTTAAAAGAGAATTTTCCAGAGCCTCCAACCCCTGGCTTCCTTATCTTTACCTTTGTTTGACAAAGTTGAAGCCCTGTTCACATCAGACATACTTTAAATTTATACTAAACACTTGTTTAATATGTCAAAACCAGTGTATATGTATATCTTATTGTTTGTTAAAATATTATGAGTATTTCAATAGTCAATAAATAAGCACATTAATATTAACTATTAATATTACTATAGTATTAATAACCCCAACAATGTGCACACAATTTTTCTAGAAAATTGTTATGTTATAGGGGTGCATAGGTTCCACCAATTTACACTCCAAACAGAAGTTGAGTATTCGAGTTGCTTAACACATTAACTACCTCTTGATATTTTCTGTGTTTTTAAATTTTAACCATTGTATTGGGTATGTAATAATTCTCAATTTGGTATTAATATACATATTTCCTAGTGAGTAATAATGTTAGACATATAGGTTTATTGTCATTTCTTTGTTCTACTACTTTTGGTTGGATTATTTGCCTTTTCCTATTAATATGTTAAAATTCTTTATATTTGGGGATATAAGTATTATTATATATTATATATACTTTTAATTTAAAAAAAAATTTTAAAGAACTGGATCTGTTTCCAAATATTTGTGCTTCTTTTGCTCCTAATACTCAGTTTTTAAATGGTAACAATAATGTCCAATTTAATCCCTTACAAATTAAATTTTTAAAAGAAGTGAAAGCTGCCATTTCTAACTATGGACCTCAATCTCCTTTTATCCTTGGTCTTCTTAATGTTTTTTCATCAAAAAATTTGATGATTCCTATAGACTAAAAAACTTTGGGGAAGGCTTTTCTTGATCGTTCTCAGTGGTTACAATTACACAGCTGGTAAATAAACAAGGCACATGTACAAACTAAAAAAAATGTTATGTGTAATCCCCCTGAACCCACTAAAAAACAACTCACAGACACGGGCCAATATACTACTCTTAATGCTCAGGCTGGTTTAGATAATGTTGCCTTTACTCAAATCAAAACTTTGTTTTTAAAGGCCTAAAATAAGGTAAAAATAACAAAAAAATCTTCCCTTTCCTCTGTGAAGATTTTACAGGGCACAAATGAACCATATCTATATTTCGTAGCCCGTCTTCAGGATACTGTCTTCAAAATTGTGGGTACTGGCCTTGCTTCAAAAATTTTGTTACAAACATTGTCTTTTAAAAATGCTTATACTAACTATTAAAAATTGTTAAAATCGTTAAAGGCCAATGGGGCCAATTTAAATAAATATATTAAAACTTGTGTTAATGTTGGAGGGGCTATTTATAATACTCAATTATTTACTAAAACTTTGTTTAAAGCCTTAAAAAAAAATAACAAACAAGGTGTTTACTTTCAGTGTGGTAAACCTAAACATTTCAAAAAAAAATGTCATAAAAGTTAAACACTTTTATCCCTCAAGACAAAAAACTGCCTTCAAAGGTATACAAATGTTGTGGTAAAGGTCAACATTAAACAAATAAATGTCGTTCCAAAACTAATAAAAGTAAAAATTTACTGTCTCCTCTCCTGGAAAACAAAAACCAGGGCCCACAGGCTTGGGGCCCCAACAATTACAATACAAGTCTACTACAATACCCAGTAAACAATAACCTACAACATCAAAAAATAAATTCAAGTCCTCCTTAAGGATCCCACACCTTACCCCAGTTTCTCAGCCTTATACGACAACTAAACAAAGCGCCGCTACTAACTTAGCTATTACTCAGCCTTATACTTTATCTCCTAATAGAGGAGTATATAAATTAACTATTAAAGTGTGTGGCCCTTTGCCAAAAAAACATAATGTTACTAATAAAATTCTTATTATGGTTCAAGTCTCACAATTTATATACCTAAAGACAAAAAAACGTATTCTCAATAAAGAGGGTTTGGTAACACAAAAAAAACTATTTTTTGGAAAACTTTAGTTTCTAATCAAAAACCCTTATGTTCATTACACATTAATAAAATAGTTTTTAAAGGGTTAATTAATACGAGGGTAAATATGTCTATTATTTATTTAAATTAGTGGCCTATACAATAAAAAAAAGACAAGTTTCAGTTATACTCACTAGCTTGGGTACTACTTCTGTGGTTTATCAAGACGTAAAACCTTTAACCAGTGTCAGTCCTAAAGGTCAACAAGGTCAAGTATTTTTTTTTATTTTTATATTGTTCCTATCAATATTAATCTTTAGGAACAAAATCTTTCACAACAATTTACTACTTTTTTAAACATTCCTCATATTTCCTCAACTGCCAAAAATATAATGTTCAAAATGGGCTACAATCCTTTAAACTCATGGCCACCACTCCTATTTAGGTAAAACAGTAACCATTATCTAAAAAAAATACTTAAAACTTTAAGAAAGTAAGTCAAAAAACAAATGGCCAAAAAAAATATAAAGCCACGTATTTCTACATAAAATTCCCGTCTTTGTCTTGTCCTAAAACTATAAACGTTTACATTAAACCTAAAAAAAGTTTACAGCCTAGTCTTCCTAATCCTGCCCTTATCCCACAAAGTTAAAAATTAATGGTCATAAATCTCAAAAATTGTTTTTTCTCTATTCCGTTATAATCTCAAGATTGTAAAAAGTTTGCCTTTATTATTCCTAAAAATAGTAATGGACAACCTATTCAAAAATATCAGTAAAAACTTCTTTCTCAGGGTATACTTAATAGCCCTCAATATCAATAAAAAATTTTACCTCAAGGTATATTAAACAGCCCTACCTTGTGTCAAAAATTTGTCCATAGGGCCTTAAATCCTGTTCAAAAGCGTCATCCTTCTGTTCTTTTATATCATTATATAAATGACATTCTTCTTACTACACCTACCAAAAAAAAAACAACAAAATACTTTTATATCATTACAAACTCAACTTTCTTTCTACTCACTTAATATTGCCACAAAAAAAATTTAACTGGATTTTCCTATTCAATATTTAGGTTATACCTTGGAGACACAAAATATTCGACCCCAAAAAATTCAAAGTCGACATAATCATTTAAAAACATTAAATGATTTTCAAAAACTTCGAAAAAACATTAATTGGATATGTCCTGTTTTAAAAATACCAACATATCAGTTATAACATCTTTTTTCTATTCTAAAAAAAAACAGTCACTTAGACAACTCACGCCATTTAACTCCTTTAACTTTACAGAAACTCCAACTTATAAAAAAACAACTTTAACAGGCCCCTTCCTAATGTTCCCTTTTCTTTTTGTTTATTTCATACTTTACATTCTCCTACAAAAATAATTCATCAAACCAATCAGCCACTAAAATAGATCTTTTTGTCCAATAAAACATCTAAACACTTAACTACTTATATCGATCGTTTAACTAAACTAATCATCAAAAAACGACATCACTGTCAACAACTTTGGG